TCTATATACATTTGGAAATAATGAATCTGGTACGTCCGGTATAACCAGCACGGATCATTTCCTAAAAAATCTTTTTATGAAACCGGTATCACTTCGAACATCCATATACTGAATTTCAGAATATTATTTGCAAAAGTTTCTGAGAAACAGGAGAGATGAAGCATTTTCTGAATAACCCTTGCAAGTTATTCTATCGTCGAATGCGCTATCCGAAAGGAATATAATCATAACTATATTACCTTTTCGTATTCAAATAACTTAATATTGATACAGAATGAAGAACATAGTATTTATTGTATTCTTACCTAAGAGAATGATAATTTCTTGCTCGTATAACACTGTAGCCCTCTCACCAGAACACCTTCAAATCAAATGAAAGGTATCTCGAACTCTAAATACAATGAAAATCGACCACATAAGCCGGGATTGGCCATGGGTTAGCCGATTCCAAATCTCCCACAATTTCTCCCCGCGCAAAGGTAGCAACCATAAAGATCATAGTAAGAATGAAACAGTTTAGCCCACCCGGAATTCTTCTATATTTGCCGAGTTCGACTTTCTCTATATTATATTTGGAAATTGGAAACTAATGATACTATAAGTATATCTACTATTTCGAAAGCATATTATTATTTAATTAATCAAAACCTCCATATCTCGGGTATATCAACTCTGTACATATTGCTTCAAGCGTTATGTATATAAGTATGTTAAATAGGGTAGTTTATTCAAGTAGATACTCTTTTTGACAATATGCTGAGTCGAAAATTAAGGCAAATTATATATTTCCTTCAATGAACTCGATTTAAAGATAACTACTGAAGGATATATCATTAACATTCTATATAACATGAATCTGAAGTCCCATGAGAAACTTGGTTTCTGTTTTTGTATTTTTGATACCCTTGGCTGGGAACTTAAAAATACGAAAAATATAGGCTTACAATATCTTCTCAGGATGTCCATCAATCTATAAAAAGATTTTAGAGTCAGGTGGCTCATTATCACGAAATGATCGTGATTTGCACTTTTTTATGGTCCTTCTATATACAGGGTGTTCAATATATATTTTCAAAATTCGAGGGTTGATTCCATACCAAAAGAAAGTATAAGAATAGTTGTGAACTTTTCGTCTACAAAGACTTGTTTAGTTATCGATATACTGGGTATCAATGTTTCCGAAAACGAGGCGTAATCAATTTCTGAAGTAGCTCTCCAGTATTTCTTTTGTTACTTCCGCAGATAAGGTTAGAATTTGTTCGAATTATTCTGTAGTATGCAATGGGAATGATGAGCTGAGAATAATATACAAAAAAAAATGTCAGTTTGTTATTTTAAACTGAATTTTTGTTTTTTAGGGAAAAACAATTTTTCATGTCCGCCCTTGACTCGAGTGTACAAAGCAAAGGAGAAATAGAGAAAGTCTTTACTATACAGAGCCCTACATTGAGCTCATAAAAATACCTAGTATATCAGCTAGTATGGAAGAGAAGAGTATTATATTAGAGCATTGAAACTATTTTCTCGATGTCCAACCTGTGCCTGACAACATAAAGCAATTCTGATATATATCACATGATCGATATATGGCGAAACATTAAAAACAAAAACATAATCTGAAGAGGGAACAAAACGGCTTGAATTGCAAGATCTAGAGAAAATTCATCTGAAAGTGATGCTTAGATTCTGATAACATACTCATAAATGTGAAGTTTCCGGCAATAATCAGAGAACATTCAAAATACCTACTTTTTCAAATGTTTCCTTCATGATCTCTTTAAAATAGCTGCTATTCTTCATTCTGAATATGTCGACCCATTAGAAATCTTGTATTTCCATACTTATGAAAGAACTTCTCCATTCATCCTCTGAGAATAGCTTCGAATTGGAAAATTTGTATTCGCCACATATAGGAAAGCCGAGTATAAAACCCTATTTATCTCCATTATCATTTGTTTACTTAGTGTATTGAGAGTTGATATTTCACTAAGTTCTCAGTATTCCGAAAATACGGGTCTTCCTATGAGTTTTTGAATTAAATATCAACCACAACCGTTTTTTTCAATTCATTGACCACTGCATAAAATCATTTATTCTCTCGAAAATACGTATTTTTCTAATAAGTTGAATCTCTATCCCATCTTCGAAAGCAATTTCACTGAATATCTTCATATTGTTGAAATAAATCATCAACTTGTTGGCCATTGTGAGGAGCCAGCATTGTGTCATAGCTCGCTTTTTTTTCTTGATTCACTATTTTCTTTCAGACCCCGATATTGTTTCCTCTTCTGCCGCTGACAAGCAACATATTTTAGCTCTATGACAGTTGAGTAGAATTTTCGAATTGTTCAAAAGTTTGTCTATTCCCTTGTTATCGAAAGTAATTATAGTGACATGAAGAGTTGTATCTATTGTTTAACGCATTTGTGAAAATGAGGCTTTTTGAATTGAAATATCACTCATTTTTGACGGGCGTTTAACTCGTTCGAGAAAGGTAGAGGTATAACGTCATTTTTTGCATAAAAACTGTGTCACTTTCCTTCACCTCGTGTACCTCACACCATCTTGCACTGTATTTGCGTATGTGATTGAAAAGTACATTTCACACCAGTGTTGTTTATCTCCACCCATAAAAAAAAAAGACTCAACATATACATATATGTGGTTATATGTAGCAAGGAATTCTGAAAGTAACTTATGTTATTTTGAATGGCTCTTTCACTTTTTCTTCTTGAAATGTTTTATGAATTCTAAATCAATTTTTCATTGAAAATTATTTTGGTGGACAGAAGTAAGTATCCAATGCTGTCGTTACCTACTGCTGGAGTTCGATGTAATGATTCTGAAACAAAATATGTGTATTCTGGTTCACCACTCCGTTTTAGTAATTTGAAAATTTGAATTCTCAAATATTGATGTTACTATCGCAAAAATCAGACGAAAGAGCTTATGAGTAACTGAAGCTGTCGTGTGTCTATGCTATATCGGCGTATATTTGTTCATGTTGTAGAATTCGGGGTTCAAGGATTACAAGCTATAGGATTTCATGGTCAAGAATCTTTATTTCACAAAGTGGCTTCAACCTAAACTCTACATTGACCCCTCTTTATATTAACAGTTTTTATCTCTAGAAACGAAAGGATGTGCCGACTGGGGCTGGCGAGTTCGTCTGACTGGTATTACTGGTGATAGAAGTATAGCAGAGATTTCTGAGGAACATTGTCCGAGGAAGTATCTATAGAAAGGTGAAAGGTAGCCGACTTGTTAGTGTTAGTTAGTGTGGCATCACCTACCAGACGAATGGCTATTCTCTTCATGGAATCTGAGAACATCAGCAGACATACGTCTGGGTGTCGAACCCCATACATGAGAACAGTGTTCTAGAACCGGCCGTATTTGTGCTTTGTCAATCATGAGAAGCTGTTGAGGTGTTCGCACGGAACAAAAATGCAAGTTTCTGTGATGCAGCTCTCGCAATGGATCGGAAGTGATTTTCCCATGTGGAGGATTGCTGATGGTAATACCGAGCAAAGATATAGTGGAGTTGGTGGGTATTTCGTTATGATTGAATCCAAAGGAAGGTTTCATGACGAAATTGAACAAAAAAAAAAAAGAAAATGTTTTTCCTTCTCATTGACCATGGGGCACCAATAGTATTGTGTCCTTCTTCAATGAAAAACATACGCGTGGTACGAATCAAAACGAAAGTTACTGGAGACGACTCATGAAAACTTCCAGAACAAGGAGTAGCCTCGGGAGTAGTCAATATAGAGTGTCCACGACACGTCATGAAGTCGGTGAAATATCTACCTGTAGGTAACTTTATTATTGAAGTAATTATAAACATTTTTGTGGATTCTTAATAGTGTCAGATGAGAAGAGTGAGCGTGAGCAGGAATGCCAGATGGCAGGAGTGATAGATAGCAGATATGGCAGGCAGCAGTAGTTGAGAGTAGCAGGTGTGAAAGGTTGCAGGTGTGGTAGGTAGCAGGAGTGGTAGGTAGCAGGAGTGGCAGATAGCAGGGTTTCGTTGGTAGCAGGAGTGACAGATGGCAGGTGTGGCAGATAGCAGGAGTGGCAGATAGCAGCAGTGACAGATAGTAGGGTTTTGTAGGTAGCAGGAGTGACAGATGGCAGGTGTGGCAGATAGTTGGAGTGGCAGATAGCAGGGTTTCGTAGGTAGCAGGAGTGACAGATGGCAGGTGTGGCAGATAGTTGGAGTGGCAGATAGCAGGGTTTCGTAGGTAGCAGGAGTGACAGATGGCAGGTGTCGCAGATAGCAGGAGTGGCAGATAGCAGGGTTTCGTAGGTAGCAGGAGTGACAGATGGCAGGTGTGGCAGATAGCAGGAGTGGCAGATAGCAGGAGTGGCAGATAGCAGGAGTGGCAGATAGCAGGGTTTCGTAGGTAGCAGGAGTGACAGATGGAAGGTGTGGCGGATGGCAGGAATGGAAGAGAAGGGGTGGGGAGAGAAGGGGTCAGGTAGCAGGAGTGGATGAACCGATAGGTGGAAGAAACGGCAGAAAGAGAGAGAGAGAGAGAGAGAGAGAGAGAGAGAGAATAAGTGGACAGAGAGACGGAGATAGATACACCATCATGCGACAGAAAGAGCGTTACAGTGTATGTCTCTTCGTCAGTGTTCTAATTTCCTATCGTCATTTTCCTCACCGCTATGAAATATTGTGGGTTTAGTGCGCGCCTACCCAAACTGCTCGAATCAGATGAAATCGAGGTAAAGACGTCAGTCTACGTCAGTCGATCAACCAGGTTACATCGTTATGTGCAGTGGTATTCTCCAAATATTCTCTTTGTTGTCTTCTGAATACCTCTTCCACAGTTGGTATCGATAGAATTAGGACACGTATAGAGTGATTTCGATAGAGGACTATAAAATGTGAGAAAGAGGGGTATGTGTGTTTGTGTGGCGATGTTTTTTTTTGTTTCGGAACAGAGAAAGGGTGAATGATGATTTGAAAAATAGTTGGATCCACATTCAACACAATGAAGGAATATGTAGAGAGATATAAGGAAATAGAGGAGTTAGAAGGAGGGAGAGAGGGAGAGGGAGAGGGAGAGGGAGAGGGAGAGGGAGAGGGAGAGAGAGAGAGAGGAGAGACAGAGAGAGAGAGAGAGAGAGAGAGAGAGAGAGAGAGAGAGAGAGAGAGAGAGAGGAAGAGTGTGAGGGATCCAATTATATCGGTATACGTAGTAGACCACACCTACAGGCCAATGCAGTCAACTTTTTTATACACCACAAAACATACATCACATCCAGGATGGCACCTTATATCACGTCGTGAATGCCAAACAAACTCAACTATACGCCTCCTGTAATATCTCTCACTCACCACCCACTCCAGCATCAATCACTTCGCGAAACCCACTATACATCATCACTTTGGAAGGTACATCCCCCACGTCAAGCCATCAGACAATCAAACAGGCAATGTAAACATTTGTACCCACCCTCGGCCAATAGATTTATACACCACAAAACATACCTCACATCCATGATGGCACCTAATATCACCTCATAAATACCTAACATATCAACTATACGCCTCCCAAAGCCTGTAATATCTCTCCCTCACCACCCACTCCAGCATCAATCACTTTACGAAATCCTTCATACATCATCACCACCACGTCGAGTCATCAGACATTCCAACAGCCAATGTAAACATTAGACCCACCCTCGGCCAATCCAGTCCAAGCAAGGCCCCAACCATCAATCACCTTGAAAGGTAAACCTCCACGTCGGCCATAAGACAGCACCCACTCCAGCATCAATCACTTCATGAAATCCCCCATACATCATCATCACCACGTCGAGTCATCAGACATTCCAACAGCCAATGTAAACATTAGATCCACCCTCGTCCAATCCGGTCCAAGCAAGGCCCCAGCCATCAATCACCTTGAAAGGTAAACCCCCACGTCGGCCATAAGACAATCCCAACAGCCAATTGGAACAATGACCCCACCCACGACCAATCAGGGCCAAGCCCCGCCCCACTACCCCCTCTATAACCCCACCCCCTGCTAGACTCCACCCCACATCCCCAACTGACGCCCCGCCTAGGCCACGCCCCACCTTGTCTGTCAAACCCATCCCAATACCTACTGTCGTATGTTTCGTGTTATTATAATTTTTCGTGATTTCAGGCAGGACATTTATCCAACGGTATGAGCCATTCAAACTAAAGTACTTGTTTAGTTTTTCCTTCAATGTCCGTATAACACGTTCAGCAATGGATGCCTTCATTATCGTGTACGTATGATAATGATTGATGGAGGACTTTTTCATCAGAATTTGAAACTTTTCGTTGTAGAATTCGGTACCTTGATCGGTTTGCAAGTTCTTGGGAACTCTGGTGTTGCCAGCATGTGATAGGATATCTGCAAATGTTCGAGCAATTTCAGTACCAGTTTTTGATTTCAATGGTCGAGTCCATAGGTACTAGGAAAAACAATCAATCACAACCATTATCAGCTTATGATCCTTATTTACAGAGGCATAGGGTCGCATTTCGGCCAGATCCATTTGCCATAGGTCATCCAAGCCTTCGATGATGATGCGACGTCTCGGGAATTTCTTACGTGCAGGTCTATGTAATTCATTAACGGGTTGGATTTTTTCTTTAGAATGTAACATGTTGACAACGTGGATAATGATGTAAGAAACGATGACACAAGGAGTTTATATGATCAGCACAGGAGGTTTTGTTTTTGATGGTGGTTGTGGTGGTAGTGTCACAGTCGAAGATTTTGGAGCTACCATATTGGTGATATCCGTTTTGATTTTAGCAATGGCATCAGCGAGCTGACGTTCTTTATCATGACTCTGTTGCTGCTCAACCCTCAAATCGTGCAAACTCTTCACAGTGTTGTCAATCTTATCAACAAGTTCTAAAATATTTTTCACATTTAAGTCGATGTCGCTTTTGAGTTTTGGTAGAGAATTGTTGCGAAGCTGTTCCACATCCCAGGTAGCACATCATATTGGCTGGAACCCGACTTCATATTGGGCCGATATAGATATATCGTAAATGTGAAAAATAATGTAGGTCCAATATGAGAGAATATTGGACAAACAATATTGGAATGATAATATTGGTGGAATATTGGTTCAACCTGAGCTGAATATGGATTTTCAGCTACAATATTGGAGTAATATTGGTTGTAAAATTCGTTAACAATGTGTTGAAAATCATATCTATGAATGTTATATAATATTGTTTTACGAATGTCGACACAACAACATCGTATACATATTGTTCCCGACATTTACAACCAATATTGCAATTTGAACATTCTCCCCATGTCGATTCTGAAGCGGTTATGCAATATTGTATATTCAAGTTAAGCGGCATATTGGTTGGATATTGTTTTAACAATATTTGAAACATTATATTCACCCATCTTGATTGATATTATTTTATCTATATCATGCGGAAGATATCGTATACAATCCGCTCCTTACATTTATAACCAATATCGCGATTTGAATATTGTCCCCATGTTGATTCTGAAGCGGTTGTGCAATATTGTATATTTGAGTTCGACGGCATATTGGTTGAATATTGTTTCAACAATATTCGAAATATCATATTCACCTTTCTTGATCAATATCATTCTATCCATATCATGCGGAAGATATCGTATACATATTGTTTCCAACAATTATAACCAATAAAGCAATTTGAACATTCTCCCCATGTCAATTCTGAAGCGGTTATGAAATATTGTATGTTCGAGTTCGACGGCATATTGGTAGAATATTGTTTCAACAATATTCGGAACATAGAATTTACCTATATTGACTGATATCATTCCAACTATATCATGCGGAAGATATCGCACACATATTGTTTCCAACAACTATAACCAATATCGCAATTTGAACATTTTCCCCATGTCGATTCTGAAGGGTTTTTCAATGATTCAAATATGAATATCAATAACGGCAATTCAATATATATCTTATATCGGACATAGAAGAGAAAAACAATATTGTATTTTCAAGTTCAATTGCATATCGGGTGAATAGTTTTCTAGCCATATTCAGAAAATAATATCATTTTATATTGGCTGATATGTGATTCACTATATCATGTGAGCAATATTGTTCACATATTGTTTTGAGAATACATATCGATATCGAAATTTCGATATTCATTCCATATTACGCACTCCCAAACCGATGTCGATAGATGGCGCTATAAATGATTGGTAACGTACTCCCATTGCCGATCAGACGAGACAATATAAATATTGGCTCTAGACGATTGTAAAGTATTATAACCTGGAGTAGGGGTTGACCGTGATCAACAAGGCGGCTTCCCCAGGGCAAGGTCCTCCTATTGCACTCCGGCTGGGCTGACCTTTGTGATTATTCCTGATGCGAATAACTCGCAAATATTGGTATGAAAATATTCCACCAATATTTTGAAGACAACATAGCTACATAATGATTTTCAATAATGTACCAATATTTCCAACCAATATTGCACCAGTATTGTCAAAAGTTCACTGTCCATTCATCAGCAATATTGTTATCACATTTTGTGACAAATATAACTTTACCAATATTCCAGCAATATTGGTATAAAAATATTCTACCAATATTTCTGAGACTACATACCTTCATGATGATTATCAATGATCCACTGATATTTCCATATATTACACCAATATTGCCGAATGTTCACCATTAATTTCTCGGCAATATTGATATTACATTTTGTGTCCAATATAACTCTACGAATATTCAACCAATATTAATATGAGAATATTCTACCCACATTTGGAAACTGATATTGTACCAATATCGCCGAATGTTCACATTATTTTCTCGCCAATATTACTTTCACAATATTTTGCCGATATTTTCGTAATATTGCACCGATATTGTCCCAATATATGTGTGCTACTTGGGATGTACGCTAGTCTTGTGTACTATGCCAGACAACTGAACAAAGTTTGTATTGTACGATGTTAGTTTAAGATCATGTACATCCACTCTCTCCCTTTCTTCGATTATTTCGTTGCTGAAGCCAGAAAGGTAATGTCGGATTTTTTCACCATAATTATCGAAAGCAAGCTTGAAATCTAACTTTATTTGCGAAATGACTTCATCCACATATTGTTTGTTTGCAACATCAGCGGCATCTGTTGGCAGTTTTACGTTACATATTTACAAATGACCAACATCGATATCACCGGTTGGAGTATGTGAAAATCCAGATCTGACTGTCATCATCTGAGCTGAGCGTGGAAACGAACCACGTCCGAATTTGTCGAGACTCATTATGCTAATGACTAAAGTATTGTACGTTATCGATAATGGTCGGCACTTTGCCTCGCCAATTAGCCCCGCCACTCATAGACATGCCATGGAACTGTCACGGAAATGTCATGGAAGTGTCAAGGAAGTGTCATGGAAGTGTCATGGAAGTGTCACGGAAGTGTAATGGTAGTGCCACGGTACACGGAAGTGTCAAGGAAGTGTCAAGGAACTGTCACGGAAGTGTCAAGGAAGTATCACAGAAGTGTCAAGGAAGTGTCACGGAAGTGTCACGCAAGTGTCACGGAAGTGTCAATGAAGTGTCACACATGTTTTATTATGCCTGCCTCTTCTAATTCTTTCAAGATGGCAACAATCTCGTTATCGTTTGATGTATTTCCGGCTTGCTGTGATGCAATGAGCAACTTCAATCTATCTACCAATTCGTTGGAATCATCCCAATACATGTATTCGATAGGTGCTGTGTTGTATGTCAACTTCAAACCACGACCACTGGAATTGGATCTGAACACTGGACGAATAATTTCTACGTATTTGAGTCTAGAGGAAGACTTCTTCATACGTCCTGCAGAATTCAGATGAGCTTTGGTGAGCAGGAGTATTTGCTTGTATGGGTTCGTATCATCTTTGGCAAAGGATGGATCATTATAGAAGAGTAATTGATAGAGGCCTGGGGTGCCACGGAACCGAAAGCCATCAAGAAGTTTATCTCCAGTTCTTCAATGGAAATTCATTTCTTTTCCGTTGAGAGACCATTTCGATGTTACCGGATCATATTTGGGACCATGAACCGTATCGATATTTTCATCATTTGTCCAGTATTCAGTCAGATATTTTTGAGCCATCGCAGGATACTGATCAACGTAATCATGTATTGCAGCCGGTGAGATATTTTCACTATCTGCAAAAAGTTCATCATTAGCATTGTCATAACCGTCCTCATCATCATCTTCAGTATGCCCAGCATTATCAGCCACATCCATCATAGGTATGAAATTAGTTTGATTCAAATCTGATTGCTCCCTCTCCACCTCCCCATCCTCTTCCTCCTTCTTCTTCTTCTTCTTCTCCTTCTTCAACCCCAACGACTTTGCTTTGCTTCGCTTGATGTTTGAAAGTGTTCCATCGAGTTTTTCTTCTATGACCTTGGACGCGGAGGCAATTTGTTTCAAAGGTGATGTCAGTGGTTGGAATATTTTGTGTAACGCTTCATCATCCTCAGACTTGCCTAATTTCAGAGCTGAATATTCCCGTCTGATTGATTTCGATATTTCATTGATTTTTTTCTTGCGAAGCGCATCAGCAACATCATCATGCATCCCGGTTAACGTCATCTTGATGAATGACCCAAAGATCACAACCTTGTAAACTTATCTAAACCATTTCTGTATCTGCCAGCGTTTATGTCAAAAGTTTTCGCAATCACCATCGCGCCATATTGGTTGGAATTCCAACACTCTGAACACAACACTTTGAATTGATCGAATGATATGTCTGGTGACACATGCTCATCAAACACATGCTTCAGATTCATTTCATCTTGTCGAAATAACACCACCAGGTTACTGTTGTCTCGCACCAGCTGCTTTGATATCTTGGAATAGGTCTGGCATAAGTATGCCACGTCAATGTCCTTGTGTCTACACATTGGGAAATATTCTCGAATTTTCTGCTGCTTGTCACATGACACATCATCGAGAATGAATATCGAGTGATTCTTCGCTTCTGATGGACTAATGACTTCGTCATTCTCTTTGAAGGGGAAATAACCAACTCCTTTCACTGAATCCATCACTTGTTGTAGCAATTGATATTTCGGCTGGTACAACGACTTTGAATACACGTAAACGTTCTTGAATTTCGCGCCATTTGGATTGAACAGCAGGGAAAGCATCGCATTGGTATTTCCACATCCGCTTGGTCCGCAGAAGATTGCTCTGAACGAATGGGGAAGCAGTTTTCCATGTTCACTACCCGATGACTTCATTGATGAAATTTCCTCCAAATTCTCGATGGGCAACGTCCGTTCTTGTTGAACGATCTCCATCATCTGATGAGAGTAGTAGTCGAGCTGTCTACACGTCAGTCTTCATGTTGCTCTACCACGGAGAGGGTGTGCTCGATAAACTTCCCATCGAATTACACATTCCAGGCTACAGATTTTGTGGTCCAGGCACCAAACTCGATAAGAGACTTGCTAGAGGAGACACCGGCATCAATCCGTTGGACGACGCGTGTCGAGAACACGATATCGCCTATTCACAAAATTCCTCAATAGAAGACAGACACAAAGCTGATTGGATATTGGAAAATCGAGCGTGGGAGAGAGTCAACTTGAAGAACGCTAAATTCAAAGAGAAGGCTGCTGCTTCGCTTGTCACCACCGGAATGAAGGTCAAACGAAAACTTGGCATGGGCCTTGTATCACAGCAATCCCTATCCAACATTATCAAATTCATAAAAAATGTGCCATCGAAGTCCGCAAAGTCAGATGGTGGTGGTGGTGGTAATACAACATCAGGAAGTGGTCTGAATAAATCTGCATCGAAAGCACTCCATGCAGCCAGAATGGCAGTCAAGAGGGCTGGCGGTAAAAAAAGAATCAGAGTACCAAGAATCATACCTCTTCCACATAGTGGCGGTATACTACCATTGATACCAATATTTGCTGCCTTGGGAGCCCTAGCTCTAGCTGGAGGAGCCGGAGCAGTCGCAAAGACGGTCATTGATGCGAAAAATGCATAGAAAAAGCTCGAAGAAGATCAAAGACATAATAAAGCAATGGAGGCTATCGGAAAGCAAGGTTCCGGCCTATTTTTACGCAAAACATCAAGAGGATTCGGACTGTACTTGAAGAAACAATCAAAAAACTACTAGACAAGCTACCCAATTGATCACTATACGATAAAGATGTAATAAAGTATGCCAAACAGCTGAAAATACCGTATGTTCGAGGTGTTTTTATGCGGGACACTCTACCTTCCACCGGTCCATGGCATCGCGAGTGTGCTGTATTGAATTTGGATACCTCCAATCATGCGGGCACTCATCGGGTGGCTTACATAAAAAATGATAAAAAAGACTTATATTTCGATAGTTATGGCAATCTGAAACCGCCCAGAGAATTGGCTCAATACTTGGGTACCGGCACGAAAATCATGTACATTAATGAGCAATCCCAAAATTTCAATCAAAGTAATTGTGGACGTCTATGTCTAGAATTCTTCTTCAATGAAACCAAGTAACACAGTCATTGTGCATCACTCATGTCTCTGATTGTTATGTTGAAAGGTCGTACATCTACGCTCTCCATAGACTTTTTGACACCACTTCAACTCGATCCAGACTCTGATTACGGACTAGCATTGTTGGGATTTCATTCATACAACAGTATACCAAATATCGACAAAGGATCAAAGTTCTATCTGCAAGATAAGACCAAGGCGGGAAAGATCATCGATATTCCCGAAGGTTCATACGACATTGTGGACATTCAGACATTTATACGCAAAGAATTGGGTACATCGAGTTGCAAAGGACGTTGATGATATATTCTCGTTGAAGCCCAACAATAATACACTAAAGTGTGAGATTTCGAGCCAAAGGTTTGCCATCGATTTTCGCCCGAAGGATAGCATAGCTCAAGTCTTGGGATTTTCAAATAGATTGTTGAACGCACAACAAGTCCACACTTCCGATTTGCCGGTCAGCATAACCAAAGTGAGAACCATTCACATTGATAGCAACGTTACTGCTGGAGCTCCCTACAACGACAGACCATCACATACGATCTACGAGTTTGCAGTTGCAGTCGATCCTGGTTACGCCATAGACGAGACTCCCAGAAATCTAATCTACCTACCTATAGTCAGCAGGCGGGAATCGCCCAACATTACACTCCAGATTCTCGACCAAGATTTCAGAGAGGTGAATTTCAGAGGTGAAGAAATCATTATGAGATTGGAGTTGGAGAAACTCGCAAGATGGTACTAGTGTTTGATTACTCCTATAAATCAGACGATCAACCAACATCATCACCATCATCGGCATCAGTTCCTCCGACACCATACACCAAAGCAGTCGTGTCTTCAGAGAGCAGGAGCAAAAAATCATTGACATTATCCAATATCCTGTTTCTCAAATCACTCGTAGGCTACAATGTTGTCAGCCCCCGTTTTCGACGTTTTTCGTAAACCCAGATTCGATGAAAGCATCACTAAAGTGGAGTGGCGCACATATTACCCATATGTGAAATCATACGAAAACAATGATGTCATCGATATTACAGTCAATCAAGCAGATTCGTGGTTGGCCATGTTTGAAGGCATCATTACCATCAAGGGTAAATTGGTTGTGACCGGAGGTGGTATTGGTTCATTAACTCACAATGCTGGAGCCTATCTCTTTGATTCCTGTACCTATGAATTGTGCAATAAAGAATTGGACACTGTCAGATATCCTGGAATAACGAGTACTGTGCGAGGATACTTGTGTTACACACCTGAAGACTCACGCCATCTAGCCATAGCAGGCTGGAACTATCCTAACGCTCCGATTCTCAACGCCGATAAAACATTCAGCATTAACATTCCACTGAAACATTTGTTTTCCATCTTTAACGATCATCAAGTGGCAACGTGATGCGAGCAGTCTATCCGTTTAGTGAGAACTCGCAATGTTGCCAACATTGTGAAGATTGTCGAGAGAGTGAATACTGCTTTGCCAGGATCTCCTCAGACTCAGAGCACTGCTAAAATAACGATTGAAAGCATCAATTCGAAAGTGCCGCATCTTACGCCCAACGATGACATGAAGTTGCAGTTGTTGACACGTATCAAGGCAGATGAGTCTATGATGATACCGTTTCGTCGATGGGAATTGCACGAGCTACCAGCACTCACACAAGGATCCACCATAGAAATCTGGTCGGTCAAGACGTGTTCTGCATTAGAGAGTCCCAGATATGTTATAGTATTTTTCCAAACGAAAAAAGCCGATAATTTGCATGAAGACGTCACCGTGTTCGATTATGCCAACATCAAATCCATACGATTGGCTCTGAATAGCGACTATTATCCGCAAGAAAGAATGCTATTGGACTTTTACAAAGACCAATATGCCGACGCTCACTTCAACTATACAGAGTTCAACAAGAGCTATCATAACTGTCAACAAAAACGCTCTCTAGTGGATTTCAATGAATTCAAAAGCCGACCATTGTTTGTTATCGATTGCTCGAGGCGCCATCTAGGCATGAAGTCGTCTGCAGTTGACATAAAGTTGGACATTGAAGCGACGACAGGTTTCCCTCCCGACACCAAAGCTCACTTACTTACTTTACCTAATCTTTATTTTCCTTTCAGACAATATTACATTGTATAGGAATCGTCACAATATAAACTTATAATCTATCTTAAATCTAGTATCACAAGTGAGTATAGTAAAGTAATGATTAAAAAGCAGTTCACAAAAAATCATGGACGGAATAGTGAGATTTCAGCAAAAGATATTCTTTTAATTTTATTTTGAATTGTTTGGTCGAGGAAATACATTTGATGTTTTGTGGGATTTTGTTATAAAGCATTGGGCCCATGTTGTTTGGAGATTTGAATGTGAGCGTTTTTGTAGTAATAGGCAGGTGTAGGTTATCTTTTGATCTAGTGTAAAATTATGAACTTGAGAATTTTTCACAAAACTTTTGTTGTTATGAACATAAACACACATTTCAAAAATATAAAGACATGCAAGTGTTAAAACTTTCAATTCTTCAAAAATAGTTTTACAGCTATCAGTACGTGATTTGAAGACCATTGTTCTAATAATTTTTTTCTGAGCCATAAATACCTCAGCCGAGTGAGCTGACCAACCCCAGAAGCAAATACCGTAGCGTAATCGCGATTCGACTTGGCCGTAATATACCATCAGTAATTGTTGACGAGTTAAAATTTCTCGCAGATTCCTCATAAGAAAATTTTGCGAAGATAAGGTTCGAGTCAAGCTATCACAATGAATTTTCCAATTCAAAGTATTGCATCATCGTTCATGACCAAATCATAGAACACCTCCCACTCAGCGAAATTGTTCGAAATATCGCCTAGTTCTAGGTGTTGATGTCACACCAGTCAGACGTCAGTTTGCTCCTAAGAGTCATGGAGATCGCACTGGTTGACATTCAAGCGTTCATGGTTGAGGGTGAATTCATTCCAAAGGAAATGACTATCCGCATTGGCAAAAAGAAGAGTCATTTTCTATTCAAGCCATCTGTAGAGTTTTCCAGTTTGAACAAAGAAGATAAAAAGATAGCGAATCATGTGGAACGTTACGTTCATGGTTTGAAATATTCCAGTGGTTATGTGGATTTGAATGAGCTGGATCAAATACTACGAGATAACCTGCAGCAGACAAACATCATCTACGTAAGAGGCTATCAAAAGATTTAGTTTTTGCAGCGAAAATGTGCAGAGTTGGAGATGATCAATCACATTGTTAATTTGGAAGATTTTGACAATTCTTGGTGGCAGCCAATAACGTTCCTACAATCCATTCCACCCTGCATGAATCATTTCCATGGAGGAAGGTTGCAGTGCAGTCTTCACAATGTCGATACTTCATATAATTGGTTATGTAATTTATTACCAAAATAAGAAAAATATATAATAATTTCAGAGTTTTCATTCACCACATCCCTTATTTCTCAGTGTTCCAACAATAACATTTGAGATTGAAATAAGTGAGCATATTAGTGTACAACAAAGTGTCAAAATTTCAATGACATTGACAGTATCTTGATCCAATTTTGCGGAGGATTTTTTCAATGTAAGTGTCTGCCAGTCTCCCATTTCGCCGTTACTGTCATCAGAAAACGATAATTTCAATTTATAGTCGATGCTGCTTTCATTAACATGTTGTGGCATGTCGATTGAATATACAGGTAGTTTGTTATCATTGACATACATTCTAGTCATCATCTTCCAATCACAATGTTGTGTACGATTCACATCAAAACATACGGCTTCATTCCTTGTATTGTACGGTATGTTTGTGTAGAAGACGTTGTTGCTCAGAGCTGTCAATAGAATGAAGCTTGCTTTCAGTATCGCCATCTAGTAGCTGTGTTGGTTGAATTCTTCTTCTTCTCGATGTAGGTGTAGCTGTGCGTCTCGGTTCTGTGAACACCTTATCCCAAACGCTCAGTTGCTCGAAATCTTTAAACAGGTCAACTTCCTGCTCATACAATTGGATGTCTGCACTGAGCTGTCTAACCTTCAAACCAAATTCTTTTAGTGCACGTCTGTATTCGTCAGAAGACATGATACAACTGTTTTACACGTCCATACCTTCAATTCACATCCTATTACAACACTTTATCTCTCTTTCTCTCCCTCTTTCTCACTCTCTCTTCTTCTTCTCTTTCCTCTCTCTCCCTCTCTTTCTCGTACACATCCAGTCAAGTGTGAGGGTTCAAGAGGAAAGAATACACAGAAAAGTCTATTGATTGTTTCTATATTCTGAGTATAATAAAAAATTGTTTTCGTATTCTTCCACTCCCCACATACATCATATTGCAAACACCATCTGTCATACGTCATATGTCATGTATTACCTGGCATCAGATATTTCTTGAACATCTGACAACACGTTATCGACTTCATAAATAATAATTTCCAATAATGTGACGGTTATCGCTGCACACGACTCTTATCAGCGGAAGCTTCATTTGGTGTTGTGTGTATATGGTCGATAAAACCAACATATAAATATTTCACCATAAATTTATTTCGATATAAAACCGTCTTATCTCTAGAACGCATCTTTTGCTTTGCTTTACCTCTACAGATCCATTGCAAAGATAAGCGTGCGCCAGCGATGGATATTATTTTCGACTCGAAGTTATTTATCTATGGAACGCATCTCTCGCTTCGCTCTACCTCTACAGATCCGTTGCAAAGATAAGCGGGCGCCAGGCATTAAAATTATTGAAATATTACGGAGGTCGGAATACCACAGTACGTATATACGCTGCCTCGTAATGCAAAGGTCCCTGGTTCAATTCCCAGCGATGACAGCTTTTTTTATTTCATTTATTCACGATGGCGACGTGAGGACGTTAATTTCCATCGCGCAAACGTGATTATCTCTGCGGTTTTGATAACAAGGTCATAAATCTTGTTATCATGACCCCCTTATCATCGGCATACAGAATAACAACTTTATGTAAATATTTCATCATAATTCATATTATTTCGTTAATTGCGATAAGGATTTTCAATCTACCGATATGCGCGCGTGGTAATCGCAACAACAATGTTGCATAGCGTAATCATCGTAAGGGATCTTGTGCTTGCCGATCTGCTCCAATGCTGCATGTAACATTCCAAACTATAATTAATATCATGTAGTGGTCGTGGCTCTGATGGTTGCGCGTCGGACTCTCAACTCGGGGACCCGAGATCGATTCCCAACACAGACCCAACACTTTTTTTATTCAATTCTAAATATAAATTGGATTGACGATGACTTCATCATACGAATAATGTATAACATGCAGGCGACTAACTAAAGTTGAATTTCGCGCCATTTGCAGACTATGTTAAGTTCGCGCCGTCGACAAAAGTAGTACAAACGTCTTATCAACCTATATAAAGCTTTGCTCGCTGATCCTCGACGATTCCATTTGAATACGGTTTTCATAGTGAAACTTTCATGGCCTCCTGAATGGCTCATAATGCAAAGGTCCCGAGTTTGATCCCCAGCGGTGAATGTTTTTTTTTTTTAATTTATTCACGATGATGATGCCATGACGTCACACAATTTGAATTTCGCGCCATTTGCAGACTATCTATACTTGAAGTTCGCGCCGTCGACAAAAGTAGAGGAGTGGGGAATGCTGCTCTCTGATTGGCTAGCCGAGTCACGTGGGTGGGTGGAGGGGTGGGGGTCATCCATCCTCTCCCGACTCCTACTACAGTGGTCGTGGTTGGTTCCTCAACCTTAGTGTCAGAGATACTGCCCAGCGTCAGCTCGGATTTTCCGATGTCTACCGATGCTCGCCATTTCCGGAGTAACTCTATACCGAGTAGCATATCTACTTTCATCCCAGGCATGTATAAAAATTCTTCACGAAAATGGAAACCTTGGATGTTTTTCTCGATTTGCCACGAGCCTTTGAGGTGGACTTCAGATCCATCTGCTAGTCGTGCTATTTCGACAGTGGGGGTACTGCCACAGTTGAGAGAATATTACATATACCAGTTGGGTCACTCTCCGAATTCCCTTTGATGTTCGAGTTCAGAAGCGATGCGCCTCATTAGTGGCGGCGACAAAAAATCGGTACAATACCAGGGGCAATCGGACCGCGGCCACGTGCGATCTGCGCGTAGAATTTTACCAGGGATCATCCAGATGTTTGATTGCTGATAGTTGTACTCGATTTCAACTTGAATAAAAATTGAATTAAGATTGTTTATTATATTGAATGCAGGGAGGGAATGATCATATATGAAAAAAAAAACATCTATCATTATCTTTATAGATATAAAAATTTGAAAAAATCATAAATGTTTCAATATACTTATTTTTGGATTCGCCTTGTTGATTTTACCTGTTTTTATTTCATGATTCAAGAATCTTAGGGTATAATAAATCCTCAATCTTGTATATAATGAAAAGAAATAATCATATGGAAAGTTCTCACATGGATGATGGAATGATTGCTTGCAGAATTCATTTCTCAGTTTCATACCTATTGAATCTTGTCCAGCTAACTCATTGAACCTTGCAACAAAAATGTTTGTGAACCACCCCTGAACTATAACGAAAAAGACAAAAAAAATTATCGAAAGCCGTTTACGATTTTATCGAGGACAGACAGACAGACAGACAGACAAACATTCATTTTTATATATAGAGATGTTACTATAGTAACATCTATCAATCAATATCTATAGATATCAATTGATAAATAAAGATAACCTTTGGAAGGAGTGTATGAACTAGGACCCAGTAGTAAAGAAGGAATGGCAAACTTCTGGAGGCGATTTCGTGCTTCATTCACAAAACAATTTTCAGTGAAATGTAAGCTGCAAACTTTCAATCTGCTGTGACCCTGCTCTGATGTTATATTCGCATATCTATGTGTACCTATGAATCCCTACACATTTTTCCAAGCTTGACACCTACAAAACATGATTTGACATGCTCAAATTCACTGCACATTTCTTAACTAAACATGCTTCATTGCTCATCCTGTATAATAATTTGCCAGAATATGTTTTCATCAGCGATCTACTATTGTTACAATGATATTCCATTTCTATTTCCAAATAGTCACTTGAATGGAATTCGGAAAGCAAATCAATTTCCGAAGTAAATGAACTTGACATATTTTTCAATTGAAATAGATAGTCTCGTATAACTGATAGACTTTTCATATAATCGAGAATAATTAATCCGAATATATAGAAAGATCGAGAAAATATGCAATGTCGAAATCAGTTGCTATAATTGCCATTTTGCATTACATTTCAACAGCAGTTTGGTTACTTCCCCCTTCAATTGTATTTATAATGTAAGTATTTTTTTGCCTGTCCTCATCCAATGGACATCTAAAAAATGATAATTCTCCACCCATTCTACTTCTGCAGCCATCAACAACGCAATACGTTATAGACATACTTAAGCTTTAATTCACACTAATAGGCTATTATTTGAGACACTCGATATAGCACGATCGCTGCGTTCACTTGATTCACTATGTACGTAGCCGACTGACGTTCGCCAGCTGCAACCTGCTGCGATCAAGACGGGGAAAGGGGAAGGTAGCCGCGGCACGTTTGGCGGCATTTCGGGGAGTGAGTTAACTGGTGTATATTCTCTCAACTGTGGTACTGCGAGGCCAACCCGTATGCTTTGCAATTCTCATTGCAGCATCTCCCTTAAACGAACGTTCCGCCCCTGTGCCCAGGAGTGCTTCTAACAAATTTCTGCCCACCGTGACTGGCATGCGTGGTCGACTGTCTCCTGCCTTCTGCCTCAAGGAGATAGTTACTGATGAGAGTTCGGCGGATGTCGAGTGGGTGGCAGGCGGAGGTCCATTCTGGTTCGGGTTTCGATCTAGGTTCGGTCGGCGACAGCAATCTCTAGAGAGGAGTCCTGCCTGCCACATACCGAACAGAACTTTCTGGGTGCATTTCGGCAAGAGAATCTCGTATGACCATGTTCACCACAATTCCAACATACAGCATCGGGTTGTTCGTTTCGAAATTCAGGTCTCGCTGGGGTTTGTCTTGGTTCGGGGTTTGATCGGATATTGTGATGTACTCGCTCCTCTAGTGCATTCCGGCGCATCGGCTAGTTCCTTGAATTCGACAACGGTCTTGCTTGATTCAGAGATAATCTCGTTTGATTTGGAAACGATCTATTTTCGCCTGGTCTTTGTCTTGGAATTTCGCTACTGTTATTTCTGTTAGTGGGCAGGTACGCTACTTCTGGAACAAACATCTGTGAGATGTTTGGCGGCGGCCGATAACTTTGCTCTCCTCGACCTAGCACCTCGAATTCCTCCCTTAGGGTAATAAATTCTTCGATAGAGCTGACGTCTCTTTTTCGGATATAATATTTGTATTCGGGACTAAAACTTTGATATATTCTCTCCAGTTCCAATGCTGGGGTCACAGAACCAATTCGGCGGAATATGGTTTGGAGAGCAGTAACGAAGTCTTTCACTGGTTCGTTCAGACCTTGAGTTCGTTTCCTGGCTTCCTCTTCCAACCTCATCTTGTATTCTGACGATGCAAAGAACTGGCAAAAACTCTGGCGAAAATCTTCCCAGGTTTGCCATCGGTGTTCATTATAGAAGGGCATGTACTCATCTTCTACTGTGTATCTTGTGCTCCCAAGTTTTTTCGAGAATAAAGTGGTGAAAAGTTCAAATTTTATTGTGAGTTCGATATGTTTGTGTGGAGAAAACTGCATCATTCAAGAAATAGAGGGAAATTTCCTGAAGAAATATTGAATAATTATGGCAATTCAGATAATTCAATCCAATTATTCATTGGACTGTGCAAATAATGGAAGATGAAAACAGCTGATAATCTTCTTTGGTTCATTAGTGTTTTTTTTTTCATTTCACACCGAAATAAAAACTGCGTGAAATACTCGACAAATAGTTTTTTGTATAGTCCAGGAAATATAGGACAATTCTACAAACCCATAAAGTATTGGATCCAACATTCAAATGCTGCAAGAAGAAAGAATGCTCAAATGTATGTTTTATTCAATGTCTAAGCATCTTCCACCAGACCTGTATGGAGAGGAAAAAAAAATGCAACTAGTAGGAAGTCACAAAATAATCTGCTCCAAAGAATGTGCGATCAGGAAAAAAAAGTGAAGAAGATGATTTACGAAAAGCTGGAGAAACAATGCCCCCATGGGCCCTTTTTGCCAACCCCTGTTTATCTAGCCTATATGTGGAGTCTGATTCTGAACTATAAAATATGTTTCTGATTTGATGACTTGTAAACTTATGTTCAAATAATGTTTCTCTGTAAAATTGTGTTTTTTATTTTTTATTTTGTGGATGATTATAAGACTATTTTGTTTTTCAACAAACTGCAAATTTTTATGTTCAATTTTATTTTAGATTGCAATATTCCACATTTTATACATAACGTGTGAACTTGTTTCAAATTGTGTGATTCTGTGTATTCGTGTTTTGATCTAAAATTTTTTCATATTTTTTTAAGAGTTTCACAGACTATTTTGTGCTTCAAGCTTTGTCAATGAGAAATTATTTTTCTTCGACAATAAAGTATATTCATCTATCTATCTGTTTGTTATTTCGGAACCACAGCAGAGCTTTATCTTTCAGTAGTTCTGGCAATGCCCTGAGTAATTGGGCTCCTGAGAGATTATAGGCTTCCTGTAGCTCAGATATCCTCTCCAAGAAACTCACGGGGTCCTTCATCCCATCGAAATTCACATTCCATTTTCTTATTCTATCCAGAACCTTGGGAATGGGCTCCTCAGCGGGATTCTGTGAGCCTTGACTTGTAGTAGGATAGTATGTTAGAAACATGGAGTAGTTTCCGGGGTGATAATGAGTCCAGTCGTTTCTCGCAGACCGTGCGTGGTCTTTCGACGTCTGTGGCGGGAGGGTAGTTTCTCATTATGTGGTGAAGGATAAAACGGTCCTTGTGACGAGCTGACAGGTGTGTTTTGTATTACTTCTGGAAGATGTTGGAGCTTCATCCTTTTCCAATGTCATAGCTCTAGCCTCACGTGGTCGTGATGTGGATGTCGAATCTGTCGGATAATTTTGCTGCAGCTTCGTCATTTCTCCAGTTTGAAGTCGCAGCCATTCTTGATGTGTGCTCGAAACTCTGGCTCATCCTGGCGTTCGTGAATTTTGGAATCGCACCTTGTCCGCGAGTGTCCGGGTAGAAATGGAACTGGGATGTTGAAAGCGTCTGTCGAGGAAGCTCTTCCCTATGGCGGGATTGTTTACTCTCCTTAGACTTTTGAAGGTGGTCCAAGCGATCAAATTCTTCTTCTATCTCATCTCTCGGTTGATCATCATCGTCAGTCTGTTCATCATTCGGACGCGTGTCCAACGGTCGTCTCATGAACTCTCACATTTTTTCACGGAGCTCCTCGACGGTTCCTTCAACATCGATTCCTAAGACTCGCATACGTTCTTGTAATTCTCCTTTACGCATTTTGTACAGGGTGATTCACCATAAATGTCCCCCCCTCTAGCTCACTCATTTTTGAACCGATTCATAAATTTCAAAAATAATCTAAAATGATTTTCAAGAATTTTTTTCCCGTTGCATCAGAAAATACAATGTGCTCGAAACAAATGATCTACAGAATACTACTTGATTTCTTCAAATGGAACACCCTGTATTTCATTGTATTCTTAGATTCTTGCTGAAGAGCTGATTTCATCAATGCATCACACTTGGGGTCTAGCGGGAATGATTACAGGGATATGGGGTGTTTAAAATCGATTTTTCAAGTTTAGGATTTTTTTGTCTCGAAACTATACATTATTGGTCGAAACGGCTCCCATGTTTTCATCTTAACTTTTGATTTACTGTCTACTGACATTTAATTGGAACATTTACAGGGTGGTTCAAGATTCAGAATTTTGATCACCCTGTATCTGTTCCAATTATTAAATGTCAGTAGATAGTAAATCAAAAGTTTAGAAATGGACATCAGAGCCATTTTGACCGGTGATGAATAGTTTCGTCCCAAAAAAATCATAAAGTTGAAAAATCTCGATTTTGAACACCCTATATCTCTGTAATCATTTCCGCTAGACCCCGAGTGTGATGCATTGACCAAATCAGCTCTTCAGGGAAAATCTAAAAATACAATCAAAAATAGGGTGTTCCATATAAAAATATCAAATA